CAGAGCCCCCCGGCCGCCATCGCCGCCATGTCGGGCGAGGAAGAGTTCTACCTCTTCAAGAACGGGTCTTCCTCGTTGGGCCCTTGGGATGGCCCCCAGTACCACATCGCCCCCCGCTGGGCCTTCTACCTGCAGACGGCCTTCATGGGCTTTGTCTTCCTGGTGGGGACCCCCCTCAACGCCATCGTCCTGGTGGTCACCGTCAAGTACAAGAAGCTGCGGCAGCCCCTCAACTACATCCTGGTGAACATCTCCTTCAGCAGCTTCATCTCCTGCATCTTCAGCGTCTTCACCGTCTTCATCTCCAGCTCCCAGGGTTACTTCGTCTTCGGCAAGCACATGTGCTCCTTGGAGGGCTTCGTGGGGGCCACCGGAGGTAGGGGGCGGAGGGGGACACGATGGCGTCTGACAGGGCTGGAGGTGTTGGGGTGACCACCATGACCTCATGGGGCTGTGGCAGTTGGGGTGACCACCTTGGTCTGGTGGGGCTGGAGCTGTTGGGGTGACCACCCTGGTCTGGTGGGGCTGGAGGTGTTGGGGTGACCACCATGATCTCATGGGGCTGTAGGTAGGGTTGACCACTATGATCTCATGGGGCTGCCAGAGTTGGGGTGACCACCCTGGTCTGGTGGAGCTTGAGGTGTTGGGGTGACCACCCTGGTCTGGTGGGGCTGGAGGAGTTGGGGTGATCACCCTCGCCTGCTGGGGCTGGAGGAGTTGGGGTGACCACCATGGTCTGCTGGGGCTGTAGAAGTTGGGGTGACCACCATCGTTTGGTGGGGCTGTAGGCAGAGGTGACCACCATCATTTGGTGGGGATGTAGGAGGGGGTGACCACCATGTTTTGGTGGGGCTGTGGCAGTTGCGGAGACCGCTATAATCTGGTGGGGCTGTAGGTGGGAGTGACCACTGTGATCTGATGGAGCTGTAGGAGTTGGGGTGACCACCCTGGTCTTCTGGGACTGTAGGAGTTCAGGTGACCGCTATGATCTGATGGGGCTGTAGGTGGGGGTGACCACCCTGGTCTGGTGGGGCTGTGGCAGTTGGGGTGACCACCATGCCTTTTGGGGCTGTAGGAGTTGGGGAGACTACCATCGTTTGGTGGGGCTGTAGGTAGGGTTGACCACTATGATCTCATGGGGCTGTAGGAGTTGGGGTGACCACTATAATCTGGTGGGCTGTAGGTGGGGGTGACCACCCTGGTCTGGTGGGGCTAGAGGTGTTGGGGTGACCACCCTGGTCTGCTGGGGCTGGAAGTGTTGGGGTGACCACCGTGGCCTTCTGGTTCTGTAGAAGTTGGGGTGACCACCCTGGTCTGGTGGGGCTGTAGGAGCTGGGGTGATCATCGTGGTCTGGTGGGGCTGTAGGTAGGGTTGACCACCGTGACCTTCTGGGGCTGTAGGCGTTGGGGCGACCACTATGATCTGGTGGGACTCTAGGAGTTCAGGTGACCGCTATGATCTGATGGGGCTGTAGGCAGAGGTGACCACCATCGTCTGATGGGGCTGTAGGCATTGGGGTGACCACCATGACCTTCTGGGGCTGTAGGAGTTGGTGTGACCACTGTGATCTGGTGGGGCTGTGGGCATTGAGGTGACCACCATGACCTTCTGGGGCTGTAGGAGCTGGGGTGACCACCCCGTCCTGGTGGGGCCATGGGTGGGGGCTGGTGGACCATGGGCTGAGGTGCCCCCACTGGTGTCGTCCCCCCCCAGGGCTGGTGACAGGGTGGTCCTTGGCCTTCCTGGCCTTCGAGCGCTACATCGTCATCTGCAAACCCTTCGGCAACTTCCGCTTCAGCTCCAAGCACGCCCTGATGGTGGTGGTGGCCACCTGGGTCATCGGCGTTGGCGTTGCCATCCCCCCCTTCTTCGGGTGGAGCAGGTGGGGGGT